GTGGATAAGTCACTTTGCTCTCTGAGCCTGCTTTCTCAGCTGTCTACCTTGCAAGGTGGTCTTGAGGGTGAAATAAAATGGTGAGTGAAAAATAAAGTCTAGCAGTTTATGGCATGTGTAGGTGCCCAATAAATGACAATGTTTATCTATGACCAGGGACTATGTCTTATAAGGCCTAATTCCATCCTCTTTTCTCTGCACCTAAGCCTCTGTTGGGAAACATCCCAATTGGGTAGGCTGATCCAAGACACTACGAGTTGTATTCCTCCTCTGTTTTCTAATCTGACCACAGATCTTAAATGTGTTGGTTGTCTGGACAGAGGCCAAAGCACACAGCTCCAGGCGTTTACTCTCACTCCTTCTTCCTGGCACCGATTAGCAGACTGTTCTATAGGTGGAGTCACTTCCTACTCGTCTGGTAGCGGCAGGTTGTCCTAAGTGGGAGCTATTTTGCATGGTTCGCCCCAAACTCCGGTCCCCCTCTTAGAGCCTGAGGGAAAATGCTCACAGCAGACCCCTTTCCTTCAGGGGGCTCAGTAACCAGAAGCTGTGAGTTGACAAGGATGGCAAGTTAGATCTTAACTTGCTTGAAGCCCTCTGTATGCTCTGGGACTCAGCTGCCTTCTGTAAAAATGAGAGAATCATAGAATCATAAGAAATTTATGTGTGTTTTTTTTAACTTTTTTGCCTCTGGTCCCTTTGAGAATAGAGAATATTTGATAAAAAGTTTTAAACACACACACACACAAACACAGAAAACAGCTTGTATACTCTATCATCTGGCCATATAACACACACACACACACACACACACACACACACACACACACACACTGGCACTGGGCACCAACAGAGGGTGTCCCAGATTAACCTAAAATGATTTAAAATCTCTGATACCACTTTAACATTCAGGTACCCCTGTAAACATTACTTCCTCAGAGAAGCCTTCCTACAACCCTAACTGGACCAAGTTCTATTGTTATAAGCGCTTTTAGCACCCTGTAATTCTTTAGCACCCTGATACCTTCAAACAGGTACCTTTTAATGTCTGCTTATTCCATTATACTCTAGGCACCATGATGTGAAAAATCTCTCTTTTGATCATGATTCTTCTCTTGACCAAACTCTAGTCAGGCTCCTCTGAGTCTTCTCAATTAGGACTCAACCTTGGCCTATAAACACTGTAGACTCTGAGCCTAAATGATTTTATCCACCTACCTCCCCTCACATTGAAAGACTTAAACAAACACTAGCATAGATTCTTTCTGCTCAAGATTGTATCTCCAGTATGACCCTGACTGCCTCTCTTAGGTGCCTGTCCGAGAAAGCTGAATGCTACCCAAAGAATTCAGAGTTCTGGCTAGCATCTGACCCTTTCTTATAATGCTTACTAAAAAGGGATTACTCCCTGGGTGGGTGGCTCAGTTGATTGGAGTATCATCCCGTATACCAAAGAAAGATTGTGGGTTTAATTCCCTGTCATGGCACATGCCTAGGTTGCAAGTTACATCTGTGGTTGGGGTGTGAACTGTAGGCAAATGATCAATGTTTCTCTCTCACATCAATGTTTTTTCTCTCTGTGTCCCAGTATGACTTTTACCTTGTGACCCAAGGTGGTTGCTTGAGCTCCAGCTTTCACATCCAAAGCCAGCTAGCAGGAAGAAGGAAGGGTAGAAAGTTTCTTTGAAGGATATCACTTAGGAGGCCCATCTTATAGCCCATTGGCGGCACCCTTAGTCACACGGCCATCTATGTTTAGTTGCAGGGAGGCTGGGAAATCTGGTTGTCATTTTGGAAGACCGTAGAAACAAACAAGTGGGGAAAAAAATATCAAGGATTCTACTCTTAAGAAGAGCAGAATGGACCTAGCTAGTTTGGCTCAGTGGAAAGAGGGACAGCCCACGGACTGAAGGGTTCCGGGCTCGATTCCAGTCAAGGGCATGTACCTGGGTTGCAGGCTCAGTCCCTGGACCATGGCTGTGTGTGGGAAGCAAGCAATCAATGTGTCTCTCTCACATTAATGTTCCTCTCTGTGTGTCTTTTCTCCGCCCTTCCACTCTCTATAAAAATCAACGGAAACATATCTTGCAGTGAGGATTAACAAGAAGGGCAGAATAAATACTTGCAGTCATCCAGCAGTGTCTGTCACACCTTTTTATTACATTCTATTTCCTGTTCTGCCACAGTTCAGCTGTGGACCTGGACAACATACTTTCTTTGCTTTTGGTACCAGTTTTTCTGGTAATTAGGGAAGAGAGTGCTTCAATCTAATAAAGAAGCTCAGAGTATTGAGCACATAAACATGTCAGTGCTCTGGTTTCAGGGAGAACTGGAGCCCCACCCAGTAAGCCTTCTTTTTAACTTTCCTGCTTGGTTCCCTGGAGTTTCTGGGAGCAGACTTTGAAACTCACAGATTAGATGACCACAGAGGCCCTTCCAGCAAGGAGACCTGAAGAATTCCTGTCCGTTACACTTTGGGAGTAACCTCTCTCTGTCCATAACCAGGCTGTGCCCTCCATTAGGTACCTCTCTAGTGAGTTTAAGTAGATGCCTCCAACAGCGAGTGTGAGACACCAAGCCTGCCATTAATTGCCCACCCACTGTGTGTTTGGCACTGTACCAAGCTCTGAGAACATAATGTGACCACTGCTCTTACTCTTAAGTCCCTTACGTATTTTTGTTGTTGTTGTTGTTATTCCAAGGCCAGGGTTGATCTCAGCACAATCCAATGTACCAAATGCTGTAACCAAGTAGGATGTGGTGTTAAGGACTGAATTGGATCCTCCTAAAAGATGGGTTGAAGCCTTAGTCCTTGGTACCCACGAATGTGACCTTATTTGGAAATAGGATCTAACAGGTGTAATTGAGTTAAAATACAGTCATTAGAGTAAGCCCAAATCCAATAGGACTCGTTTTCTTAGAAGAAGAGTAGAAGGGGCACAGATACACACACCAGAGAAATGCCATATTTTGATGGAGGCAGAGATTGGAGTGAAGCACCCACAAGCTAAGGAATGCTAAGGATTGCCAGCAACCTCAGACACTAAGGGAAAGGCATGGAACATTCTCCTCCGGAGCCTTCAGAGAGAAGGCTTCAGGGAGAGCACACATTTGTTTGGTTCAGGCAGTCTGTAGTCATCGGAGCAGCAGCGTCAGGAAATAGACCTTACCTTGCTCCTTCTTTTGGGGCTTTGACCGGGTCTGGGAACATCTGAACCCTGTCCCCCAGCACAGGAGATCCCCTAGACCTCTCACTGCAGGGGCTCACAGGGAGATTCATCTCTGTTTCTGTGCCTCGGCCCTGTCTCTCGCTCCTTGGCAGTGACAGGGTAGCAGTGTAGTGGGAACACCAGAGCAGGTTGCTTGGTAGGAAGTGCAGGCTTTGTGGCTCAGGGACTTCTGGCCACCCTGCTGAGCCCTCAGCTACAGGAAGATGCAGGGTGCCACACATCCCCACCCTTCCTCCTCCAGGCCTTCCCTCCAATGAGTCCAGCCTGGGTCCCCACTTCCAGGAGCACCTGGATTTACAGGAGCCAGCAACTGGGTTGTTGTGCCCATATTCTAGATGCCAAAACTGAGGCTTAGAGAGGGGGAGCAGGGATCCCTACCCTTAGCCACTTCCCTCTCAACTTGGCCCAGCTCACAGGTGGCTCCTCCTGCTCCCAAAGGGGGTAAGACCACGTGATCATTCCAGACAAGGGGGCGGGGCCACCTGAGCAGCTGGAAATGGGCACATGAACAGGGGGGTGGGACCAGGTGATGAGTCCTACCAGGTGTACCGGTTAATAATGCGAATTTTTTTCAATAGATGGAGTTACACATAGTAGTACAATCAGGACTGGCATTAGGAGGTGAGCCATGGTGAGATTCTGCTTTTATTTAAAACTTTGATATTTTGTTTCATTATGGATTTTGGCATTGATTTTGATTTTGAAAAATATTATTTATTTTGATTACTAAGTTGTTGTTTTTTCCCCACCCTTAAATTTTGCACCTCAGAGAGATCTTCATGTCTCATTCTAGTCTTGACCTGTTAAATGTTTCCAGCCCCTGTGGCTCCCTTGCTCCCTCAATGCCTCCAAAGGAAACCTGGAGCCAAGGCCCAGGGTATTTACCATGAATTGATGGCCTGTCATGTGTGCAATCATATTATGGGTGCGTATGTGTGTGAATTTCTGAGGGGATAGTTCATTGCTTTGATCAGCTTCTTGGAGGTATCTGTAAAGTGAAGCTAAGAAACACTAATACCTGCGAGGAAGGAGCAGGAGGAGGCTTTGTTATTCAAGGGATCTGAACCATATGTCTTAGGTGGGGCCTGTAGGCCTCAGTGGACAGCACTTAGCCTCGCAGTGCCTCAGTCTTCTCATCTGTAACATGGAGTTTATAATCTTAGTACGCTTTTACTGGACTGCATAAGGGTCAGCTGAGATCATGGCAGTAAAATTCTTAGCACCCTATAGGCAACATTTACTGGGTGCTTACCATGTGCCAGGTGCTGAGCGAAAGGTTTTAAGCCATTGCTTTTTGTTTTTATTTTTTAAAAATACATTTATAGTGATTTTAGAAAGGAAGAGAAGGAGAGAGACAGAAACATCAATGATGAGAATCATTGATCGGCTGCCTTCTGCCCGCCTCCATCCCCCAACCCTCACTGGGGATAAATCCTGCATCCCAGCACAGTGCCCCACCGGGATCAGAACTCTGATCAGGGGTCATAGGTCGACACTCAACTACGCTGGCCAGGCCGTTATCTTTTAAATAATGCCCACAGCCCAGCCAGCAAGGTGCAAGTCTCTGCAAGCCCAGGCAGAGGGGTAATGAATGGCCATCCTGCTCCTCCAGGGGACCGGGCTCCAGCCGGCGGGCGGGCCAAGGGCAGGGGGCGGGGCGCGGGCGGGGCGGGCCGGGCCCGGGCGGGCGGGGCGGCGCTGTTCCGGGATCCGGTCCGGCAGCCCCGCCGCCGTGGGGCGCGCCGAGCGCTGGCAGCGGCTGGTGGGCGCATGTGGGGCCGCTCGGCGTGGCGGTGCTGCCCACGGGGGCTCAAGCGCGGCCGGACGGCGCTGCTGGTGCTGCTGGCGCTGCTGGCGCTGGCCGGGCTGGGCTCGGTGCTGAGGGCGCATCGCGGGGCCGGGGCCGGGGCCGGGGCCGGGGCGGCCGAGCGGAGACCCCCGCGCCCCCCGCGCTCCGGCCGGCGCGACCCGGTCCTGCCGCGGCCGCCGGTGCCGGAGGGCGCCCTGGGCGCGCGGGGCGAGGCGGTGCGGCTGCAGCTGGAGGGCGAGGAGCTGCGGCTGCAGGAGGAGAGCGTGCGGCTGCATCAGATCAACACCTACCTCAGCGACCGCATCTCGCTGCACCGCCGCCTGCCGGAGCGCTGGAACCCGCTGTGAGTCCGCAGGTGGCCGCGGGCCCTGCTCGCCCGGTCCCCGCACCTCCGTGCCCGCATCTGTGCGGGGGCCTGTGGCAGTGGGGTCTCCACATACCGGGGGGGGGGGTCCTGAGTCTTTCTTAGGACTTGGCAGTGGAAGGGTTCATATAGGGAGGGGGGGGGAGCAACAAAGTTTTAAAAACTGCAAACAGGAAAATGTTAGAAATTGAGGAATATGTTCCTATATAGGTCTCTTGGCTCTCTCCCTCTTCAGAAGGTCTGTCTGTCATTCGGTCCAGAAAAGTGGGGGGTCGGGGCTAAGCCGACAGGTTTAAGATGAGACAACCCCCTCCACTCCCCCCTCCCCCCCATTGGGTGCCCTTTCTGGGGCCCACAGCACCCTCAGTCCAGCTCTGCCAGCATCATCCTGCCTTGGCAACGATGCCAAGGACTCCTGGGGTTCAAGACAGGCTCCGTTTAGTTATGTGTGCCCCTGGGCCATGAAGGATTCCAGCCACGTCAGAGGGTGCAGTCCACCTTCCCTCTTCCTCAGTCCACCTGAGGAAGGCAGGTGGGAGTGGCTGGTGGGAAGGGCGCCTTTTGGCTGTGGTGTAGCCAGCCCACTTCACTCCTGCGGGTGGTGCAGGCCCACAGCCTGTGTGGTCCAAGGCCCAGTTCCTCCTGGAGCGGCTGGCGCGGAGCGTTGTGCCCACTGCCCAGGTTTCCAGAAGGGGACACGCTGGCAGGAGGACAGCCCTTCCAGCCTTCTCTCTCTTTTCCCCAGTTGATGGGAATCTCTCAGTTCCCTGCTTGATCCCCCTCCTTAAAGACTGAGGGAAAGAGAGCTCATGGTTGGACAGCCTGCTGTGTGGGTCAGGCAGCTGCGACTTCTCTCTGATCCTTGTCTTTCCTAACTTCCAGGCGTGGAAATAGGCCCGGAGAGGATAGGTGACAACTAGGAAGTGGTGGAACTTGGGTGGGGACTGTGACCCTCTTGGTTCTCTTGGCACTAGTTTCAGGATTCAAGGGAACTGCTTTGTGGAGCCTTGGCCAGAGAGAGAATGAATGTCTGCATGAAGTGGCCTCTGCAAAGTTTGGATGGGCTTGCACCTCCCTATCTTTCGGGATCTGCTCGCATCTAGCTTGGTGCTTTTGCTTGAGGCACTTTCCCTGTTAATTTTTTTAAAATATATTTTATTGATTTTTCACAGAGAAGAAGAGAGAGGAAGAGAGAGAGAGAGAGAGTTAGAAACATCGATCAGATGCCTCCTGCACACCCTCCACTGGGGATGTGCCCACAACCCAGCTACATGCCCTTGATGGGAATCGAACTTGGGACCTTTCAGTCCGCAGGTGGATGCTCTATCCACTGAGCCTAACCGGTTTTGGCCCTGTTAATCTTTTTGAGAAGTTCGTTGGGACTTCTTCAAGTAGTAGTTCCCTCTACAACATCCAAATGGTTTATCTCTTTGAAGCCTAAGGGTGCTCACTGAGTGACAGTCTTAGGCAGTGGTCAGCAAACTGCAGCTCTTTGGCCCCTTGAGTGTGGCTCTTCCACAAAATACCACGGCCTGGGTGAGTCTATTTTGATGAAGTGGCGTTAGAAGAAGTTTAAGTTAAAAAAAGTTGGCTCTCAAAAGAAATTTCAACCGTTGTACTGTTGATATTTGGCTCTGTTGACTAACGAGTTTGCCGACCACTGGTCTAAGGGAAGCTTTCCAGGGTTCAAACCCAGCCCATGTGAGATAAAATTCTCACTCTTTGTCCAACTCTGTAATCTTAAGCAAGCAAGCTAGCTTCTCGGAGCCTGATTTCTTTCTTTCTTTCTTTCTTTCTTTCTTTCTTTCTTTCTTTCTTTCTTTCTTTCTTTCTTTCTTTCTTTCTTTTTTAATCAATCTTTATTGTTCGTTTTATTACAAAGGTTCCTCATTTCTTCCCCCCTCCACCAGGTTCCCACCCCACCCTCCGCCCCCTTCCCCTCCCCCATTGTCCGCATCCATAGGTGCACAGTTTATGTTCAGTCTTTTCCTTCCTCCCTTTCCCCGATAGTAAATCCCTTTTCAGATAGTAAATCAGTTACTTAGCATTTTCTCATATTAATAATACCTCCACATGCCCAAAGATACACTTCACACAAAAGACATCTCCAAATAGGTCAACCAACCTCATCCAGGCCCCGCACAAGGCACTCACAGATCAACACCCCAGCGCTATACTAACTCAACACATCCAGATCTAAGCCTTCATCACTTGATTCAGTAGACCCTCAAGTTCCCGCAAAAGTTTCCAACCATGTCTGAGAGGCAGCCTTGGGGCGGGGGTAGGTGAGGAGTGAGCTGTTCCAGGCCTGGCTGCTCCGGGCCTGGCCTCTGTTGCTCTGGTCCGTTCCACAACCAGCTGCTCCTGGTCTGGCCATTGCCGCTCCCGACCTGGTTGCGGAGCCTGATTCCTTATCTGCAAAATTGGGAATGAGTAGCCCTGGCTGGTGTGCACAATGATTAGAGTGTTGGCCTAGGCAGTAATAAAGCACCTAACACCTGGGAACACACTGTGTACTCAACTCTTGTTTGTTTCCCTGTTGCTAACAATTTACTCAGGAGGCCACTTCTCAGAGTCTCCTAGAGATTGGTCATAAAGTTTTTCTTTTCTGGATTCCAACTTCCTTTATTGTCCCAGTTCTGAAATAGCCGTGGATGACCTATGCCCTATGGTATCCTGTCTCCATGGTGACGTGGCTGCCCGTGTCCTATCAGAATTTGCTTATAGATCCTGCTGTGGGAAGTTAATCCAAACCCAGTATGATAAGGAATATGAATACCTGCAGCCTTTAATTCCTGCTGCAAGGCCTGCTGGGTTATTCTTGCCCAGCTGGAGGGAAAGGTGTGCTTATCTCTGTTGGGCTCAGCCTGGCCAGGCCTTGAGGTATAACTTTGGTGTGACTAATAGTGTCAGGGACTTTCTTGGAAACTCACTTTTGTAGTTCATACAGGGGTGAGGACTTAATCAAGCTCTTAGATTTAGCCTGAGGAATGGCAAATTATGAGTTTCCAGTCTGGATGGGAGAGATGGTCCCTTGGGAGTCTAATTAGTAAGCAGAGGGCTTATTAAAAAGCTTGAATATTACAGGAGGGAAGGCCCTGAGGCAGCATCCAGTCTCAACTAAGAGAAGAAGCCAGAGGAACACTCATATCTGGGGAGAGCGGATCTAATAATAGAACCTAAGTGTTTTTGTTAATCCTCAACGAGGATGTTTCCCCATTGATTTTTAGAGAGAGTGGAGGTAGAGAGGAAGGGGGGGGAGGGGAAAGAGAGAGAGAAAGAAAAGAAGAGAGAGAGAGAAAGAGAGAGAGAGAATATCAGTGTGAGAGACACATATTAGTTGACTCCCACATGCTCTGGGATCTAGGCCAAGATCCAAACTTGCCACCCAGGTATGTGCCCTTGACCAGGAATAGAACCCGTGACCCTTTGGTACATGGGCCGATGCTGTAACCCCTGAGCCACAACAGCCATGGTTAGAACCCAGATCTTTTATTCTCTCCTCCCTTTTGGGTGGAGTCAATTATTTATCTGTTTTAATTATAAAAAAAAATGCAATAGATGTTCAGAAAATAAAAATCACCTATAAATTTACCACCTTGGGGAGAACCACCGTTAACATTTTGTTGTCATCTTTCTAGATTTTATGTATATTTTGAAAATATACATAGTGGCCCCAGCAGGTTGCTCAGTGGTTAGAGCATTAGCCCGTGGACTGCAGGGGTCAGGTTCAAATTCCTTCGGGTCTGATTCCAGACCGAGAGAAAAACTTAGGAGTGTTGGTTCTAATTCCTTAAAACTTTTTGTAGGCCCCAGCTCGTCTGAATCTAACACTTTACGTGAAGTCTAGCACAGCTTTATTTCTGTTAGTTATAGCACCAAACCAAGGGGGAAGAGATGGAGGATGACAAGGACTCCTTGCATGGGGATATAGTTTAGGGTTTGCAAAACTCTTTTATCAAGTCCCATCTCAACTGAGCGTCGCCGGGAGAGGGTACTTGCACTCTGAGATGGCAGCCGGCCACAGTGGGAAGCCAGCTAGCTGGGGTTGTGGCTTTTGGAGACTTAAGAAGATTGATTCCAGAGACCATCCCCAGAAGAATTAAATGTAATTTTCTGTGGGTAGAGCCTAGGCTAAGGCTGATGTCAACGAGTGTTGAAAGCTACTGGCTGAGAGCCGGAGGATTCCTCTCTTGGAAGATTAAGGGTGGGTGGGTGCTTCAGAGGGTGTGGGAGAATACCAGAATTAGACAAAGTGGGGATTAAAAACAGACCAAGTGCAGTTGAAACTAGTGATGACATCACAGCCATTGGAAGACGTGTCACAAGTAAGGGCACTCCCAATATTTGCAGAAAGTTTTGGTTTTCCTAGGTCAGAGAAGCCGTGAGATCATCGCTGGAATGTCATTCTCATTTGCAATCCGACTTATTTAGGCAGAGAGAAGAGTCGAGTGACTGCATTTGCACGGGCACGGGGATGAGGATGCCACTCGTAAGAGCATCAGGGGTTCTCTGCCATAGCAGGGGAGTTTGAGCCACTGGTTAGGAACGTGTCTAAATAATGCACAGCTATTTGCATTTTTAAAATGCTTGCTCCGGTTTTAGCCTAATCAATACCGTAATTGCTGATGCATCTAAGTTTAGGGAACAGGATTTGGGTGCTGGAATGACAGTCTCGAAATAGCTCAAATTAAGGAATTTGGCAAAAGTGTCTGTGTCTTGCGGGAGCTGGCAGGAGGGAATTGGTTAGAATTTCTCTTTTTGCAGGGAGGTAGCCTGCCATTCTATTGTGATAACATTATGTTTGGGAAAACATCACCTATCGTGTGGAGATTAGACTGTTGCTTCTTTTGCTTCTCCAACAAGGCTGTAAACTGCAAGATATTTTATTCTTATTAGATTCATCATGTGGCCCGGAGTGGCACCTTTTCTTTGAATCAGTTCTTTAAGTTCTTTTCTTTGAATCAGTTCTTTAAGTTAAAACAAAACGTGTTTAGTTTTGTTAGTATTTTCATGATATGTTTTCCCACTCACGCTATGTAATTAAGTTTGAAGTGTGTCTCTAGGATGTTGAATTATGTGTTTGTTTATTTTTAAATCCAGACTGACAGTCTTTGACTTGAACCACATAGTCATGTTCATTTATATTTATTGCACTTATTAATACTTTAGGATTTAATTATACCATCTTATTTTATGCTTTCTTTTTGCTATACTTTTTCTCTTTTAGGGTTCTTTGGGTTGAAGGGGACTGAAAACCCAATGGGAAACAGACTTAAATTTAAAAGAAAACATTGACTTCTATAGTAGAAAAGTCTGGGATGAGAACTGGGTTCAGATTATTTTGGGCACTGGTGTCAGGGATTCAGTGGGTATCATCAGAAAATGTTGACTGGTCAGGCCTGGAGCATTTGACCTTACCAGAGGACTGTGTGTATGTAAATATACGTGTGTGTGTGTGTGTGTGTGTGTGTGTGTGTAACCACACAGACCGAGAGTCCAGGAGGCATAGTTTCTGGAAGGGAATCACAGTGCAGTACTGTGAAGAAAGGAGAAAGGAATCTGGGCAGATAAAACACACCAGTGGACATTATGATCTCCCTGGCCTGTTCTACAAAGGATAGGAATTTTCAATATGCTAACCTGAATCCTATATAATAAAGAGCTAATATGCAAATGGTTGTCATGCTCTCATGCCCTGGTACCAGGATGGGGGGCATGGCCTGAGGTCCTCTGTTAAGCCCCACCAGGCAGGGGACGCAGCCTGAGGTCCCCTGGTCCAGCATCAGGGCAGGGAGTGTAGCCTCAGGTCCCCTGGACCAGGGCAAAGGGCATGGCCTGGGGTCCCCCGTCAAGCCCCACCAGGTGGGGGCACAGCCTGAGGTCCCCCAGTTCAGTACTGGGGTGGGGGCTATGGCTGAGGTCCCCAGGCTCAGCACCAGGGCAGGGGCATGGCTGAGGTCCTCAGTCAAGTTCTGCTTGGCTGGGGCGCTGTCTCAGGTACCCTGACGCAGCCCAGCACGGTGCATCCTCAGGTCCCTGCAGATTACTCAATACAGGAACCCCGCCTCCGCTGTGGGTGCAGCCATCTTGTGATGGTGTGAGGGTCAATTTGCATATTACCTCTTTATTATATAGGATATCCTCTGAAGATGTGGTTATGGGTGGCCAATGTAGCATTTCTTCATGCAGCCATGCTACGTTTTATTTAACAATTTCTTGTTGGACATGGAAATTGTCAGAGATTTTTGCTATTAGAAATAATGTTGCAAAAAAATTTTTTTTTCCACAAGCCTCCTTTAGGATATCTCGGATTATTGCCTTAGGTGAGAAGTTCTTAGATATAGTAATATGACATCAAAGAGAAGAGGAACATTTTAAGGCTCTGAGTGTGTGTTGCCACAGTGGTATGCAGCATTCTTGTGATTGAAGGGGACTCAAATAGAGAACCCACCCAGACAATTGAGAAAATTGGCCTTGGGCTTTGGGTTGTCAGAGAAACACAAAATGGAAACACAAAAACAAAAATTCTGAGGAGGAGCTGACATCCTGTCCCAACTCTCTTCGGTCAAGCAGAGCTTTTTCTGCCCTCCTGCTTATTATTGTGAGAAGAAGTAAATTTTAATCCAGAGCAGGAGGGTGTCACTTCAGACTAAAGGACAGTTCTTTAAATTGAATAAACTTCATTTTCAAAAACCTCACTCTCTCTCTCCTTTCCTCTCTCTCTCAAATTAATAAAAACATTTCACTGGGTCAGAATTAAATAGAAAAAAATTAAAAAAGAAGGCACATTCCATGCTGGAAAGTTTGTACTGGCTGTAGCGGGGAGGCCTCGGTCTCTTGCTCCGTACACCTCTCCATAGGCTCAGAGCAGCTCCACCCTCACTGCATGGCGGCTGGCTCTCCTCAGAGTAGATGGCCCTGCTGTGGACTGAAAGGTCCCAGGTTTGATTCAGGTCAGGAGCATGTACGTTGGTTGTGGGCACATCCCCAGTAGGGCGTGTGCAAGAGGCAGCTGGTCAATGTTTCTCTCTCATCGATGTTTCTAGCTCTCTATCTCTCTCTCTTCCTCTCTGTAAAAAATCAATAAAAAGAAAGAAAGAAAAAAAAAGAATAGATGGCCCATGGAAGGGAACACTATGAAAACATCACTGTCCCATCATCTGGTCTTGACCTATGTCCCCTCCACCCCATCCCCAGCACCTCCTGGCCGGGTACACACCCAACAGTAGATTCTCCGTTCCTGAAGTTGTATTGTATTTGCAGGTGCAAAGAAAAGGAATATGATTATGATCAGTTGCCCACAACATCTGTGGTCATAGCATTTTATAACGAAGCCTGGTCAACTCTCCTTCGGACAGTGTACAGTGTCCTCGAGACGTCCCCAGACATCCTGCTGGAAGAAGTTATCCTTGTCGATGACTACAGCGATCGAGGTAAGCCCCTGACACAGGCTCTCGGCGGGGCCTAGCTCTCCATGGCAGTGCCTGGGAGGTGAGCGTGTGACAAGGCCTGGTAAGGACAGGCCTCCTGCGTCCCCCTGTGTCCGGCTCCTGATCTTAGAGAGCTCAGAGCCTGGAGGGGGGACAAGATGCAATGACAGAGGGTTCTACTATGTGATGCTCCAGGAAGCCTGGGAAAGGGACTCAGTCTGCTGGGTGCTCAGGATGGGTGGTTGACCTTAGCCTCCAAGGTCGAATAGTCTGTGGACAGCAAAGGAGGAGGGAGGGTGTTTCAGTGGAGGGCAAAGATGTGGAAAGGCTGGAGATGCAGCGCTGTGTGGATTGCGTAGGATCTGCCAGTGGTCCGGGAAGGATGGAGGGCCAGCTGCTTGGGGAGTAGTAGGGAGAGGGCAGGGAGGAGAGGTGGAGAAGGGTGCAGCAAGAGCCCAAGTCAAGGAGCTGAGACTTTGTTCTAAGGGCAGGGAGAGCCAAGGCAGGACTTCAAACAGGAGAGCTGTTGGGGAGGATCCCTCTGGGCTGGACTGTGGAGAATGGTGTACGGAGGAGCTGGGAGGGGAGGGCCAGGGGGCTGTTGGGGTGGCCCAGGTGAGAAGGGCCAACTTGGAGTCAGGTGGTGGCAGAGGAAAGGGAGGGGTAGAGTGGGAGCAGGGCCAGAGACTCACTGAGGGACAGGAAGGACCCGTGGGTTGGCAGGAGTTCCCGGGTGAATGGTGGTGCCATCTGAGAGCTGGACAAGCCCCTAGGACAGGAGGAACAGGCCTGGGAGAGGAAAGGGGTGTTTGGTTTTTGACGTGTTGAGTTTGAGATGAGATCAAAACAGGGGGCAGCCCAGACAAAAGCACCGAAGCCAGGGAGAGGTGTCCCATCCACAGGGCAGTCAGCATCCCTGCAGGCCTGACCCGTGGCCTAGGGTCCGGCAATTCACATGCAGCCCAGGGCTGGTCCTTCATGATTTAGCGAACAGTGCTTGAGTTTCTGCGGTGTGCTGGTGCTGTTCTAGGCACTGGGGTTCCATGGGCAGCAGGACAAGCCCCTGCTCACGTGTCTTTCTCTGAGCCTGTGTCTCATGGGTTTATCCCCCCCTGCCTCAGAGTCGTGGTGAGGAGTAAGGGAGATCAGGTATATACACACATGTAGCAGCAGCACGGAAGAGGCACTCATCCCCGTTGCCTTTTGTCCCTTCCTCCTGGTCTGTGGACACTGTTCTGGGCTTGAATCCACTCCAATACTTCGCAGCCATGCAGTCTTGAGCAAGGAGCGTCACCAGTTTCAACCTTGCTTCAGCCCCTGTTTTATTTTATTTTTATTTTTTTAGCCCCCTGTTTTAAAATATATGAATACTAGAGGCCCGGTGCATGAAATTTATGCACAGGGGAGGGTTGTCCCTCAGCCCAGCCTGCACCCTCTCCAATCTGGGACCCCTCGAGGGATGTCTGACTGCCCGTTTAGGCCCGATCCCAGTCGGACATCCCTTTCACAATCCAGGACTGCTGGCTCCCAACTGCTCGCTTCCCTGCCTTCCTGATCGCCCCTAACCGCTTCTGCCTGCCAGCCTGACCACCTCCTAACCACTCCAATGCCAGCCTGATTGATGTCTAACTGCTCCCCTGCCAGCCTGTTTGCCCCCAACTTTCCTCCTCTACTGGCCTGGCCACCCCTAACTGCCCTCCCCTTCAGGGTGGATTGCCTCCAACTGCCCTCCCTTGCAGGCCTGGTGCCTCTCAATGCCCTCCCCTGCTGGCCATCTTGTGGTGGCCGTCTTGTGTCCACATAGGGGCAGGATCTTTGACCACATGGGGGCAGCCATTGTATGTTGGAGTGATGGTCAATCTGCATATTACTCTATTATTAGATAGGATAATTCATTAACATAAATAAAATAATATTTCCTACCTTGTATGGTTGTTGCGAGGGTTAAATGTGATAAAGCAAGGCACCAGTGCCTGGTTTGTTGTTAGCACTTGTTAAATGATAACTTCTGTTTTTATGAAATGTTAAACTATAAAGTGCCGAGACTTCATGAAATGTCTTCATTCAGAAGGAAATAGCAGGTTTAAAATGTTACCTTTGGGCACTCCCTAGGAATGATGGAACTCCGTGGCAGGCAGGAACGCAGTCCAGACCCCTCCCAGCACAGCTCAGTTCCCTCATAAACGTGCTGCCAGGCCACAGCTCCCCTTTCCCGTCCTGATAGCCTGTAAAGCAGGTGAGAGTCCTGCCTGCCTCCTCCCGCCCTGCCTGCACTGTCAGTCTGAGCTCCAGGAGGCGACACCCTCGGGGCGTGGGAAGACAGTTCAGCACAGATTAAAGCTGGCCAAATCCACAATGAGTGCAGGAGGCCACGGGTGGGGGTATTCCCTGGTCACCGTCGTAAGTTACCTTTTGTGTGGGAAGTCGTCTGTCTTGCTCCTACCATCAACTTACTTGCAGTTATATTTGGATTGAAAAAAAACAACAACTGATGAGTGTTAACTTGTGTGTGTGTGTGTGTGTGAGTGTGTGTGTGTGTGTTTTAGTGGCAAGAATATTTAGGGAAATATTTCCTCAAACTATGAAGCAACCTAGAACATTTTATAAAATTTCCCCTTTCTTGATTGAAGACCTTGAGACAGAGCCCATTGGATGTAGAGAAATTCTCTCATTTTCATTTTGCCCCAGGAGTGCCCACCAGCCTCCCCCTGACCACTGAGGGGTGTGAGACGGGGCCTCCAGGCCCAGAGCCTGGGTATGGGGTCAGGAGTCTGGGGTCAGCACTAGCTGTGGGCACATCCTTTCAACTTTTAAGGACTCCTTTCCTCTTTAGCAAAAGAGGATGTTCTCCTGACACGTTGTAGATTTATTTAATAAAGATCAGAAGGTGCACAAGAAAGTTCTAGGAGGCAGTGTTAAGCCTGTGGACTCCAGGAGGCAGAGTCCGTGGGTTTAAATCATGGGCCCTCAGCTCACTTGCTCTGTGACCCTGACCTTGACACGTTCCTTAGCCTCTCTGGCCTTAGTGTTCTCCCCTATGAAATGGGAGTGATAGTGGTACCTACCTTGTAGGATTGTTGTAAGAATCCTATAAATCACTTAGCAATGAGCACTGTCGGCCTCTCAGGCTAGCTGCCATTGTTGTGACTGCTATTACGGTGTCAACTGAAATATGCTACTGAGAAAATTTATATGAACAGAACTATCATAACATCATACAATAAAATGTGCATTCATACAACTATAATAATATAGCTGTCATAACAACATGTATATGCACATAATTCCATATAAATTAAAAACGTATAGCATATTGCATAATTCATTAACATACATTAACAAATTTATATTAACACAATTTTTCAGAGAATTTATGGTTGGGTGGTTCTTGAGCTTTTTATTTTTAAATGTTCACAAGTCAAGGTGTAATGTACTTTGGGGGTAACAGTTCTGTTGAGCTATGTCTGCACACATGTCACCCATTTTAGGCCTTTGATGGTTCGGGAATAACTCCCCCTCCCACTCCCCTGGCCTTTGGGGTGCTTCCAGCCTTGGTTCTGGGGGAGGTGAGCGTGTTCCAGGTGGCAGAGCAAAGGACGCTTACGTCTGTTTGGTTTTCTTTTGGGAACAGGATGGCCCTGGAAGGACCTGGCTTGGGATGTGTGTCCCTCATTGTCCCATTTGCCTCCCCAGAGCACCTGAAGGAACGCCTGGCCAATGAGCTGTCAAAGCTGCCCAAGGTGCGCCTGATCCGCGCCAACAAGAGGGAGGGCCTGGTGCGAGCCCGGCTGCTGGGGGCTTCCGTGGCAAAGGGCCAAGTGCTGACCTTCCTGGACTGCCACTGTGAGTGCCACGAGGGCTGGCTGGAGCCACTGCTGCAGAGGTACGTGAGCCGTCCGCGTGGGGAGGGTCCCCATACCACACAGAAGCAAAAAACAGACAATCACCACATGTGAGAGGCCGTGGGGCGCCTGGGTTCAGTGGCTCCTGGGACAAGTCCTTTGCCAGTGGGCAATGTCTCTCAAGTGGTCCCAGCCAGGAACATAGCCCATTCTTTCCATGGGCTTTTGGAAATGGATGTTCTTGGATGTCATGCCCAGCGGGTCATGCTCCTGGCATTTTGTGAGCTGGGAACCAGGTTTGCCAGACATCCTGAAGTGTGCGCAGCCTGCACAGCGAAAAATGGTTCTGCCCAAATGCCAGGAGTGAGTGCCTCTAGGGAGCACTCTGCTCCTCGGCCTGCACGTTCCATAACCGTGACTCAGAGTCCACTCCAGTGCTGACTCCCCAGTTTTCTTTCTTGTAAAATTTAGCTTGATCACAAGTCGCAAGTTCTCGGGGTCTTTACTAGGGGCCATGCAGCATCTTTGAACCTGCCCAGCAGGTCTGCCGTTGTTCCTCTCGCCCCTTTTAATAATGCCCTCAATTTATTTAAAGAATTGGGCATTGGGCCGAAACCGGTTTGGCTCAGTGGTAGAGCGTCGGTCTGCGGACTGAAAGGTCCCAGGTTCGATTCCGGTCAGGGGCATGTACGTTGGCTGCGGGCACATCCCCGGTAGGGGGTGTGCAAGAGGCAGCTGGTCGATGTTTCTCTCTCATCGACGTTTCTAGCTCTCTATCTCTCTCCCTTCCTCTCTGTAAAAAATCAATAAAAATAAAAAAAGTATATTTAAAAAAAAAAAAAAAAAAAAAAGAATTGGGCATTGGTAAATACTCACTCTGCGATTTCCTGAATTTGGTGGACTCAGGAGCTTGGTTCTTTATCTCACATAATCCATCCTGAACGGTGCGATTTTCCCCAAACTCATAATTCTTACCTCAGTGTCATTTATAATGGCATTCATTTCTGGTGCTATTCTAAAAATCCTTATCGCTCAAGTTTGGTGGATCTCTGTTTCTTCTCGCCATTGTTTTGTGTGACTAATGATTTTTAGTTATCAGATTCCGGATAAAAGACCCTAAAAGGTAACCCAGAGAAATCTAGTGTTCACACATAGTCCAGTCTCAGCTCATTTTTCCTGATATGCCATCAAATGCAAAAAAATCCCCCAAAAAACAAAAAACACATTCTAGCAGCATGCCGAAGGATGGTTGGGCTTGTAATAATGAATGTAGAGGAACTAGCTAAAGCATACACACAGGCTGATGCATGCAACAGAAATCATAGCTATTTTATCCCACTGTGTGTAACATTTCACAATAATAAAGATGAAAAGAAAAGAACAGCAGTCTTTCTAGGTTCTCTGCCAGCCATCTCACGGACATTCCCACGTTAACCCTCTGTGTACATACAGGATGGGCAAAAACAAGTGTACTGTCATGAGTATGTGAAACACAGAGCTTATTTGTATGTTATTATTTATTAATTATCGTATCACTTTCCAAACAAACAACTAAACCTACTTTGCCTGCCCACTTTGGGCCCTGAGAGGTGAGATGACTCAGTTAACGTTCACACAGTGTATAATAGGATGAGAATTTATATTCTAATTCCAAAGCTGGCTCTTTGGTCTCGGGGCATCTCTGCACAGGGAGATTATTATTTTTTGACATTAAAAAAAAAAAAAAATATATATATATATACTTAAATATATTTTCATTGATTTCAGAGAGGAAGGGAGAAGGGGAGAGAGATAGAAACATCATTGATGAGAGAGAATCATTGATTGGCTGCCTCCTGCAAGCCCCCTACTGGGAATCAAGCCCGCCACTCAGGCATGCGCCCTGATCGGGAATCGAACTGTGACCTCCTGGTACATAGGTTGACGCTCAACCACTGAGCCAAGCTTGATGTTTATGATTAATTGTGATTAAATGAAAGAACCTTTTGCAATTGAGAAATTGAAAATCTGCTTTCTCTTTTTTAAAAATTACCTTTGATTTTTTTTTTTTTTTTTAGATGTTTTGACTTTCATAGAGGAAGTCATGGTTAGTGAGAATATCCATAGATAGAATCAGAACATTAAAGCTGTGGGATGTTTCATATTAAGGTCAGAATCCTTGTTCCCCACTTTCCCCTAAAAATCCCCCAAGGCAGTCACTTGCCTGACATGGCTGTAGACACAAGGGTGTTCCTCCTTCCTAGTGGAAGGGTGAGGGGAGTTCATTCCCAGATTTCCTAACGGTCCTACAGTGCCCGTCCGCATGGAGAAACGGGTGTCCTGGTGTTTGCAGGATCCACGAAGAGGAGTCGGCAGTGGTGTGCCCTGTGATTGATGTGATCGACTGGAACACCTTCGAGTACCTGGGGAACTCCGGAGAGCCCCAGATCGGCGGTTTTGACTGGAGGCTGGTGTTCACGTGGCACGTGGTTCCCGAGAGGGAGAGGATGCGGATGCGGTCCCCTGTCGATGTCATCAGGTCAGGGGTCGACTTCTCTGAGCGAGCCTCCTTGCATCTGGCTAGCATGTCCGTGAAGGCCCTTGGGAGGGATCGTCAGCTGTTGGGCCCCTCACCTTAGTGCACACATGTGTCATGCACAGAGTCATGTACTTGCCTGTTGAAATGCCTGTGTGGTCCCCAGGGCAGGGCCTGTGGAATCTGCCTGTGCTTAGTGCTTGGCAGAGCCTGAGTTCAGAGTGCTCTTTAGAGATGCATGACTGGACTGAGGGGCTTGTGGTGGGAAAGGAGTTCAACTAACTGGAGGTTTTGTGCTGCTTGCATGGCAATATGGATCTCATATGCTCCTAGGTCTCCAACAATGGCTGGTGGGCTGTTTGCTGTGAGTAAGAAATATTTTGAATATCTGGGGTCTTATGATACAGGAATGGAAGTATGGGGCGGAGAAAACCTCGAATTCTCCTTTAGGGTAAGTATTCCAGTCTTCTCTTTGAACTTATTCTTAACCTGTTTTCTTTCTCTCTCTCTCTTTTTCTCTGGGAACGATGGGATTTTATGAGGTTCTGGTACACTTTCCCTCCACATTGGTAATTTATCCAGAAATTCTGAAAGATGATATGCTTACCTTTTTTTGTCTAAACTTTTAAAAATACCCACTTTTAAATAGATTTCGGGTAGGAAAGGCCCTTGCAAGTCACCTAGTTCTTTCCTGTCCTATCGCGGGAAGTGCTGAAGCTCAGCCAGGGGACGTGACTGGCTCAGGAATGAGTGGCAGAGACTAGACCAAAACTCGGTCCCTGCCTCCTGAGTCCATGCTTTGCAGACTTGTTTGCTTAACTGTTTATGAAGTGGCCTCTTTATTTAGCACAGCAACTTTCAAACCTGGGCACATACAGAATTGTTGGGGAAATTTGTTGAAAAGGCAGATTTCCAGACACCGTCTCCCGAAAGTCAGACTTGATGGTTTCCTGCTGGGATCAGGAATGTGCCTTTTGTAGTAAGCCCATCTACCGATTCTGCTATCCATGACTCCCAGATGATGCCCCATGGAGAAGCCCTAAGCTTTTTAGTGGGTTTTCCAGTTAACTAACCTTGCATTTTAAGCACCAAAACCTTAGGTTAATGTGAGCTTTCCAATAAAAAATTTAAATAATATTTTATATGGTTTTCTGCTTAAGAAGAGTTATCTAACGAACAAGAATTTGGCCTTCCATGGAGGACTCACATCCCCATCCCTGGCCATACCTCCCCTGGACAGTGGGTGTCCGTGGCGATTTGCCCAGCATGCAATGGGCCCCGATGACGATTGAGTTGTAGAGTGGCTCGTAATGGTCTTTCTGCCTTTTCCCTAGGTGTCAGGCTGCTCTGCCTGCCTCTAGAGGCTCCCCTTTTTCCCCTCCCAAACCTCTCTTCTTCCTTGCTGCTTTCCTATCCTCTGTGGCTAGCAGATCAGGTAATCCGCCTGTGTTTTGCATCCTAAGTGAATGCGTTCCCAGCGAGGTCAGCGACGGGTCCCGCCACGCATCAAGTGCATGAGGCTTAGTGCATGGACGTGGGGTCTTGGTTCCAGGGCTTGTCTGTCTTGGAGCTGCTTCCATACTCTGCCTGCATATTGTGTTGTGGGGGCGCTGTGGACGTGGCCTCCTGCCCCATGGAGGGTGAGAGCGTGGCAGTGTTCATCCTGTCCTCTGTGCTCGGCCTCCCGGCCACAGCGTTATGGACCAGCACCTCATCCCCGGCTCACCTCCCGCGGCCTCTCCTCTGCTCTGTGTGTGCAGATCTGGCAGTGCGGCGGGATCCTGGAGACGCACCCGTGTTCCCATGTGGGCCACGTGTTCCCCAAGCAAGCTCCCTACTCCCGCAAAAAGGCCCTGGCCAACAGCGTCCGTGCAGCCGAAGTGTGGATGGATGAATTCAAAGAGATCTACTACCACCGCAATCCCCACGCCCGCTTGGTGAGTTCCCGCCCCCTGCACTCAGCCTCGTCGCCGCCGCCTCTGAACAAAACCAGCTAATCTGGCCTCTGGACCACGGTGGGCCATGTTCCAGAAATAGAAAATAAATGGGGTGCTCACGATACAGGAGGGGACGATCTTGCTCCTTCACGTATAATTCACAGTTGATTCTGGTTATTTTGCAGTAATTATTTTCTGTATAGTCACCGCAAACACTGAGTTTGGGAACACCGGATCATTTCTCTTGTGGGAAATACAGGGATAGGTTCCTGGAAGCCTCCAGCAGGTTGACATTTTTGTCACGGGTCAATCCATAACCATGACCGTGCTTTCTGTGTGTTTCATCATATTTAATATAGTGTTAGTTCTTACTTTGGACTCACGGCCAATAGTACTGTCACTTACGCATGAGAAAAGCTTATTAAGCACACAGAATTTCCCAGGCAAGCCCCCTCACAGCCTGCCTACTCTGAAGAGCATTCCACGGTCCTTTAGCATTATGCTCGGGGACCACTTCCCATTGTGAACTCCCCAGAACAGTGGCGGGCAGACTCATTAGTCAGCAGAGCCAAATATCAACAGTACAACGATTGAAATTTCTTGACATGCATGAGTTTTTGCACAGAGCCTCTCGTAAGTATATATTTAGACTTCAATGCACTGAGCACGTAAGGTTGTCATTCATGGTGAGTGTCGGATATCGGTGGTAAATCAGAAGGTCATTGTATATGATTGCTGCTGACATTTTGCTGGTCTGTGATCACACGTTCATTGTTGATGCGCTGGCCCAGGGGTCCAGCGCTGGCCCAGGGGTCCAGCGCAGCCCCGGGATGTGGCTTCCTCATCCCGCCAGCAGGTGCTTTGTGTCCTTCCCTGTGCGCCTGGTCACACCTCCCTGCAGCAAGAGCACCTGCACATGTGATTGTGCGACAGCCTCTCCCTCTGGTGCACTCCGCTGTGTCTGAGGCTGCTTTGGGCGCGCTGTGGCCTGCACGGGGCCCGGCACACAGTAGGTGCTCAATAAAAGCTCAGTGAGCAGCAGGGCTTTGATAGGAAGTGCCATCGCCTTCAGCGGCTCGCTGTTTTGTTGTTTTCCCAGGAGCCCTTTGGAGACGTGACAGAGAGGAGGCAGCTTCGCGCCAAGCTCCAGTGTAAGGGCTTCAAGTGGTTCCTGGAGACCGTGTATCCAGAGCTGCACGTGCCCGAGGACAGGCCTGGCTTCTTCGGGATGGTGAGCGAGGCGGCCCAGGCTGGGCAGGGAGTCCTGGCCCCCAGGTCTGATCAGCAAACCCTGGGCCAGAAAGGCCCCTTTGTGGGGACCGTGGGCCAAATCCTCTCCCTTTTCATCCACTGCTCTTCCTTCTCCCTGCGAATGTTTGGGACTCAGGTCCAGAGGGTCAGTCCTGAGGGCCATCTCGAAATTGACAAGTTAAACTTCCCATTGTATTGATGAGGAAACTGAGGCTCACTGAGTGTTTCCATGTCCTAGTTTTTACCAACACCTTATGACATTATTTCAGATCTCAGTGGCCAGATCAGTCATTTATCAGCTCAGGGATCCACAAAGGCAGTGGTGGAGAAAGGAAAGTCACTTAGTTCAAGAGACCTAAAGGAAGCATTCCTGGGGTGAGGCCAGCTAAAATGTCTGGTGCCTTTGGCTTTTGCTAGGAATTGCACTGAGTTAGCGATTCCTCGTTATACCAGAGAGAATGGTATAATGGGCCCTGTCCCCGAGATTCTTGGATTGTCAAGACTTTGCCTTTCCTGCTTTCCCTCTCCTCTGCTCCACCCTCCCACAGTTTTCTTTTCTCAAGGAAACCCCAGACATTGTCATTTCACCCCTAGAACTTCAGCAGGAATCTTGGTAAAACTTGGAGCTCATCCTACAAAACCACGGACCGTGATCACCCCTAACCAAGTGAACAATAACTTCTTGGTGTCATTTAACATCCATCGCTTATCCAGATTCCCCCAGATGGTCAAATTTCCCTCCGAGTATTTGGCAAGTTCCCTTTGGGATCCAAACAAGGTCTACACATTGCATATGGTCACCGCACCTTCTAAAGTCTCTCTGGTCTAAGGCAGGCCTTCTTTTCTCTCTCTCTCTCTCTTTTGCTACAGCATTAGTTGCCCTAGAGCAGTGGAGAGCAAACTGCGGCGGCTCCAGAGCTGTGGTTTGCCGCTCTGTTGACTAATGAGTTTGCCGACCATGTCATACTACCCTTTATCTCTGTGCACACAATATGCCACAATTGCCTAATCCTCACAGCTTCTAACTACACAGTAACATTTAGTCTAGTCCAGTGGTCAGCACACTCATTAGTCAACAGAGCAGCAAACCACGGTTTGCCGGCCACTGCCCTAGAGAGCGCCTCACCCTGGGAACTGCCTAATTGTTTCTTTGTGGTGACTTTTAAGTTGTGCCTCTCCCCATATTCTTTACAATGGAAGCGAGGTCCAAAAGTGTGATTGGAGTTGGAGAAATCTTTTTGGCAAAGACCCTTCACAGGTGTGCTTTGCACTCACATGGTGTCACAGAGGGAGCACGCAGTGTCTGGTCCCCCTGATGTTAGAAATTGATCATAAGTTCATGGAGAGCCATGGGGACGTGTCCTGTTCCCGGCTCCTTCACACGCATAGCGATCTCAGGAACTCCGAGGGCTGTGCTTTACCAGCTAGTGGGCTGCGGAATCCTTCCTTCTGTTTGGCTGAGTCCTGTCATCAGAACGGATTAGTCAAGAGTAGGCAAGGGCCAGGGCAGCAGTGGGGCTCAGGGGGTTCTTTGAACTCTCTGGGAAGGAATGTGGAAAGCATTGTGTTTTTCCCCAGAGGCTCCAGGAAGGGAGGAGAGAACATGAACCTCCCATTTTTTTTTTGTTTTGTTTTGTTTAATATATTTTATTGATTTTTTACAGAGAGGGATAGAAAGTTAGACATATCGATGAGAGAGGATCATCGATCAGCTGCCTCCTGCACACCCCCTACTGGAGATGTGCCCGCAACCAAGGTACATGCCCTTGACTGGAATTGAACCTGGGACCCTTCAGTCCGCAGGATGATGCTCTATCCACTGAGCCAAACCAGTTAGGGCTCCCGTGATCTTTTTGTTCTTTTGAGCAATTAAAAAGTTTTAGAGCCAAGAGTTACCCCTGAGGTGACATTAGATAAGACACTGTTGAGTGACAGAGAGAGCACTGGACTTGGAGTCAGAAGTCCTATATTCCAGACTCAGGTATCTCCACTTGTTGGGGTACCTTGGGCAGCATTGGCTCTTTGTATTATGCTGTGTCTAGAGTCTAGAAAGGCAGCCTAGTGATCTGGGGAGTGCCGAGTCTGCCCATCGGGGTGTCCTTTGCCGATGCGTAATGACAGGAGCCCTGTGGTATATCTGTGAGGCGCCAGTCCAGCTGTGTCTGACAACCGGAGTCACAAGGCTGCATTAAAGAGAAACGAGAAGTACAGGCTTTCAGGTCTTAAAAAAGTTCACCTCACTGATCCTCAGGTCTATCCTCTCACAATGGGGTTACAATTCCTGCCGATGGTGTAGGTTGGCAGAGCATTTTTATTTTTTATTTTATTTCTATTTTTATTTTTTAAATATATTTTATTGATTTTGTACAGAGAGGAAGGGAGAGAGATACAGAGCTAGAAACATCGATGAGAGAGAGTCATCGATCAGCTGCCTCTTGCACACCCCCTACTGGGGATATGCCCGCAACCAAGGTACATGCCCTTGACCGGAATCGAACCGGGGTCCCTTCAGTCCCCAAGCCGACGCTCTATCCATTGAGCTAAACCGGTTTCGGCTGGCAGAGCATTTTTAAAATGAGGAATGTCAGGGGTTCTTACCCTTGGGTCCCGTTCTTGAGGCAGGTGCTTCTCCTACTCTGCTGACCCTCCCCCCCATCCCACCCCACCTCAGAGCCTGGGGTGGGATCTGTGGTGTGTGCATCTGGACCAAAAGGCCCCCTTTGCGTTTTGTTCAGCTGCAGAACAAAGGACTGAAAGATTACTGCTTTGACTATAACCCTCCCAGCGAGCAGGACCTCACGGGCCACCAGGTCATCCTGTACCTCTGCCACGGGATGGGCCAGAACCAGGTACGTGCTCGTCTCTGGAGCCTGCTTGTCTCCTGCGGGGGGCGCCCCGGGGGAGGCTCTGTGCCCCAGCGGTCCTTGGTGTGGGCCTCTGAAGAGGGACACGAGGGGACATTATGTGCTCTTAAAAAAATTTAAGTGTTCATTATGTTTTTCATTGTAAAAGTAATCCATACTCATTATAGACCATTTGGGAAGTATAAAACGTAGACGTGAGTAGTGATTGACAGGACCCAGAGCAGCCACCACAGGGATTAAGACATATTTGCTTCCCCTCTTTTTTTAGGCACGGCCTCGGGATATGTGTTTTAAATGGTTGTTTTCATGTGTCTGTATGTTTTTTCACTCTCGGTTCCCATTAATTTGATCCTATGTGTGTTAATAGACATTCTTTGAGAATACTGTTCCGACTGGCCTCTCATATGTCTTTGTGTGGCTATAACAGATTCCCTGCCTCCCTGTTTTTTGCGATTATAGATAATCTTGCCACGCACATCTTTGGTTAGAGAAAAAAAAAAAAAAAAAAAAAAGGAAGGAAAAAAACCAGCAGATCTGCAATTTAGATGACTTCCTTATCACTAGTTCTTAAACAGAATGGCAGGTTTTGATGCAGAGTGCTACCCTGCAAAGCAGTGTTTAGGGCAGTCACCTCGCTGGGCACCTGGGCAGACCTGAGCTAAGTGCTGTCCTCAGCTGGGCAGGGAGCAAGACTGGAGGGTCTAAGGACCAGAACAGGACCCCGGCCCAGGAAAGCAGATGGACCCACCAGGCCAGGTCAACGAAGGAGAGACCCTGACTCCCACGCTCTCGTGACCCCCGTTTCTCATCCAGCAATTCCCCTTTCCACGTCCGAGGGTAACTGACGCCTGGTGGCTGCTCCATTTTTAGTTTTTCGAGTACACATCCCAGAATGAGATCCGCTATAACACCCACCACCCGGAGGCCTGCATCGCTGCGGAGGCCGGAGCAGAGATCCTCATCATGCACCTCTGCCAGGACAGGGCCCCGGAGAACCAGAAGTTCATCCTGCAGGAGGTGAGCGATGTTCTTGTTCCTTCCTCGCCGGCTGCCCTCTGTGGGCTGCGGAGGGGAGCGTAGAGGCGCAGGGATGCCGCTGCCGTGTACAGGAGAAGGTCCTGGTGACCCCGAGCCCTGGCCGCACTGCTGGATCCCAGGCTCAGTGTCAGCCGCTTCCTTTCTCCCCACGCTGTCAACTCCTCTCCTCCTCCCATCCCCACCCCCACCTTCCACCTTGAGCTGCAGCGGGCCGAAATGGGAAGAGGACCCGCCGCAGATGCTTTAGAAGGAAATGGGGTTTAAACAAGTGGAACAGATCACCAACGTGTAAGGATGGGAGGTTAGATCGAGGTGTAAGTCACTCCACTTCTCCGAGCCTCCTTTTTCACGGCTTTAAAGTGAGGGGATTGCCGAAATGGTTTGGCTCAGTGGATAGAGCGTCTGCCTGCGGACTGAGAGGTCCCAGGTTCGATTCCAGTCAAGGGCATGTACCTTGGTTGCGGGCACATCCCCAGTAGGGGGTGTGCAAGAGGCAGCTGATCAATGACTCTCTCTCATCGATGTTTCTAATTATCTATCCCTCTCTCTCTTCCTCTCTGTAAAAAATCAATAAAATATAAAAAATTAAAAAAAAAACAAAGTGAGGGCAGTCATAGTCTCCTTGTCTTAACTCTGGCGAGGATTCGATGTATGGCCAGGAATATTCTTTTGAGACTAGGAAGCCCTTTCGAGATTAGTCATTACTGTCAGTATAATAACCAAGAAAAGATCTCTCTGAGGGAGTTGGCTCTCTCTTAGAATAGTCGTTGAGTTGGAAATGGGTGTTATTTCAAGCATGAAGGGCACTAGCTCCACTATATTTGTGGTCAGCCTGTGATGCGACTCATAAATCAGTCATATCCATTGACTCGCAGAAAGAGCACTTGAGGGAATAAAACCAAAGAAAATAATTCAAAAGAAAAAATTAGTTCCTTTTCATCTCCGTGGGAAGCTGTCGTTCCCAGGCCGGCCCCAGGGATGGAAAGGGTCAGTTAGTCGGCTTATAAATGGGATCATTCCAAGTAGGAGTAGAAGTTGGGGTGCTTTTTCCTGCAGAAAAGGTTATGATTAGCAGTGTAATTTGCAGGCTCCTTGGAAAAGCCAGGCACCAGAGTGATGTCTACCTGATTGAAAAAAAATAAAAAGGAGGGAAAATAGTTCTGCAGACCCCAAAAGTCTGTGACCCTCTGCAGTGCCCTCCCCCTTCTCTTCTTTCTTCTACTGGAAGCCATTGTATGCCCTCAAAGAACAGTAATGCAAGATAGAGACTACAAAATTGGTTTGAAATGTTATCTTAAATTTCTTCTTTTTTAATTAAAAACATTTTTAAAAAATGTGTTCAGTGAGAGGAAGAAAGGAATAGAAACATCAATGATTAGAGAGAATCATTGATTGGCTGCCTCTTGTATACCCCATACTGGGGATCGAGCCCACACCCCGGGCATATGCCCCTTCCAGGAATCAAACCGTGATCTCCTGGTTCATGGACTGACGCTCAACCACTGAGCAACACCAGCCGTACTGTCTTAAAGTTCAGTGACCATTTAAGGAAAGGTCTATTCAGGAGGGTGGGAAGAGGGGTGCTTTACTTAATTCCAGGCATACCTCAGAGATATTGCGGGTTCCGTTCCAGACTATTGCAATAAAGCAAATATTACAGTAACGTGAGTCACATTAAGTTTTTAGTTTCCTGGAACATAAAAAAGTTAAATTTACACTATACTGTAGTCTTAAGAGATGTTTAATATTAGTATATGTTTAAAGAGCAATAATTAAAAATATTTCATTGCTAAAAGATGCTAATGATCATCTGAGCACTTCAAAGTCATATTTTTGCTGGTAGAGGGTCTTACCTTCAGTTTGTAAAAAAAACCCCAACAAACCATGATCTGCGAAGTGCAATACAAGGTAGTGTAATAAAATGAGGTAGCCCTGTGTTTACTTCCACATTATTCCAAAGGCAATGTATGAGCACTTTCAGCGGTTCCCGTGATTAATATTTTTGAGATTCCTTTACATCTAATTTTATTAATAAAGCTTCTCTTGCTCTGGAATAGGTTATGTCACTATTCTGCCCGTTTGTCGCCACGCCATGATTAAATTTCTTGGGGATGTACAGTTTACAATAGAAAGAGAGGTTAGGAGAGAAAAACTCCAGGACCTGGGGAGAGATTTGCCGAGTTAACTCAGCAACAGTTTGGAAAAAGAAGAGAAGAGGGAGGCCTTGAAGAGGATCATGGTCTTTGGGAGTTTGGGAATTGACACAGTCTGTGGAGCCCACTTCCTCTCTGGTGACCTGCTCCCTCCCTCAGCTGGTCTGTAGCTGAGCTGGGACTAAATCCAAGCCTCCCGACTCTCCATTTAAATACATAAGAGAAAGCGATCTCCAGGGATGGAGTTAGTTGACCTAAGTGGAAGAGATTCATAAAGAGACTTTCTTTGGTCCTGATTTCCCTGAAGGAAAAGGAAAATTGTCCAGCTGAGATATAGGATCTGGCAGATCCCAAAAGCAGCCAGCAGGTGGCACCATTGGCCCTGACAGCAGAGCCCAGGACCCCATGAACTGCTCCTGTGAAAGGCTAGCATGACACATGTCTGAACATGCCAGGCCCTCTCTCTGCACAGACATTGCCTTTCCACATGCAGACACTTACTGCTCAATAAATATTTCTCTTTTAAAAATATATTTATTATTTCTTACAGAAAGGAAGGGAGAGGGATAGAGAACTAGAAACATCGATAGGAGAGAAACATCAACCAGCTGCCTCCTGCACACCCTCCACTGGGGATGTGCCCACAACCAAGGTACATGCCTTTGGCTGGAATCCAACCTTGGACCTTTCAGTCTGCAGGCCGACGCTCTGTCCATTGAGCCAAACTGGTCTCGACTCAATAAATATTTCTGAAATGATAAAAGTTGCCCTGAGCACAATACATCTTAAGGAAAAAGATAGTTTGTGAGAAATGTTTATAATTCTCTTGAACGTCCAATGTCTATGCTCTTTTGTAGGATGGTTCTTTATTTCACATGCAGTCCAAGAAGTGTGTTCAGGCTGAGAAGAAGGCGCTCAGCAACAGCTTCGTACCACTCCTACGAGATTGCACCAACTCGGATCATCAGAAATGGTTCTTTAAAGAACGCATGTTCTAGCGTCGCTGCACCATGGAGACCACCTGGGAGACGGGGGCCCTGGACTCAGCACAAAAGACTTCACTACGTACAATGATGGGCCCACCGAAAACTTGGTTGCTCTGTTTTCCTAAGGAAATCACTGTGCAATCCGTGAGAGCAATGTGGCAAGAATGTAAATAAGCTTTGTACTGTTTTTAAAAACTTCAAAATTGTTCCCAAATACCCGATTTTCAAAGGGTGATCGTAAAATGTTAATTCTTGGTAGGCAGAGAATTAAAAGCCTTCGAATATTTTTCTATCAAGATTAGTTGTGCCTTTTCATTCCCAAGTAAGTGCTTTATTTCGGTATTTACAAGCATTTCCAGGTGTGAAGATGGTTGCATGTGTTGAAGTTAGACTCATGTAACGTCCTTTGTGTAAACGGATAATACTTCAGAGGTTGGTTTCGATTTTTTACTCTGTGGACAGATGGGCAGTGGGAACATTGTGCTGATTCCTTCAGGGCATTGAGATAACCTAGGTTTATTTAATAAAGAATGCTACTTGTTGCCATAGACCAACCTCCAGTTAAAATTTATGTTAGCCAAAGAAGACTAACCAAAGCTGAAACCTCAAAGGAACAATCTGGTATATTTTGGGCTAATAAAAACTTCTGCCAGGTCCTGTTTGGCTCAGTGGTAGAGCGTTGGCCTGTGGACTGAAAGGTCCCGGGTTCGATTCCGGTCAAGGGCATGTACCTTGGTTGCGGGCACATCCCCAGTAGGGGATGTGCAGGAGGCAGCTGGTCGATGATTCTCTCTCATTGATGTTTCTAACTCTCTATCCCTCTCTCTCTCTGTGAAAAATCAATAAAATATATTAAAAAAAAACAAACAAACAAAAAACTTCCACCACATGGGGTGGACTCCCGACAATGCATAGCTGTTGTGTGGCTGGCTACTTTTAGCAGTTACCTACTGGGACTTTCAAACATATTTATGTCATTTAAAAAAAAAAATTTTACCACATTCATGTGAGGGAGGAATTGGATGCTCTCTATGACATTCAGTTCTCAGGCTTGTTCATTAATACTATTTGGTCATTTAAATCGTCGTGTGCTGCCACGGCTGCTGTGAAAGTGTCTCAGGAATTCTAGTTGGTGCGAGATCTCAGATCTACTTCTAAGATCTCGTCAATGTGGTGGAGTCCATGCAGATGCATTAACAAAGGGACCAGAGCATTGCAGATCTTTGTTCTTACAGCCAATCAGATGTGAGAGAGGAAGGCGCTTGTGCAGATGGTTAGAAAGTCTCAACTTTTGTCTAAGGCTCTTAGGCTCTTTTTTATCCCGATTCCCCTCTCTGAGGGATCCAGTTTAACACTTATACCCAGAAACAACTTCACCTGACCCGGCTTGGGTCAATTGGATATCCTTTAACCACTTTGAACTTGAGTGTCTTTACCTGTAAAATGGGAATAAGAAACCAAGCTTATGGGGTAGGTGTGAGGATTAAATAACATGGAGCAGGTGATGGCTTAGCTTAGTCCCTGGCATACAGAATGAGTTTATTAAAAATTGGTTTTCATAGGTTCACTTTATAAAATATGAAACATTATTAAACTTCAGTAAGTGTTTATTCAAACATAAATATTAAATAATTTAGTTCCTTCGTCTTTATGAGATTGAATAGCTCCTGAGCAGGTGGAAACAGGGTATGAGGCCCTCCCACCACCGTTCGGCTCTCTCTCAAAGGCAAGGCGCTATGGGGTCAAGGCTTTCCCCTCCACATCCTAGTGACCTGTCAAGCAGGTGAGGTGCCACGCTCAGCCTGTAATGGAGGTGAGAGGCCTGCCTGCCTCCTTCTGCCTTATCTGCACTGTCAGCCTGAGCTCCAAGAAGGAGTGCCTAGCTGAAACCGGTTTGGCTCAGTGGATAGAGTGTCGGCCTGCAGACTGAAAGGTCCCAGATTCAATTCTGGTTAAGGGCATGTACCTTGGTTGCGGCCACATCCCCAGTAGGAGGTGAGCAAGAGGCAGCTGATTGGTGTTCCTCTCTCATCGATGTTTCTAACTCTCTATCCCTCTCTGTAAAAATTCAATAAAATATATTAAAAAAAAAAAAAAGAAGGGGTGCCAGCCCCTCGGAGTGTGAAGACAGCTCAGCAGGCAGAAGGTTAATGCGCCCAAATCCACAAGGCATGCAGGAGGCTGCAGGTGCACTCTTGTGGGTGCTCCCGGGCATCCCAGTAAGTTACCTTTGCGTGGGAAGTCATCTGCCTTACTCCTGCCATCAGTGCATTTGCAGTACTTTTTAGGGTAGAGAAATAAAAAACAATTGGGGAGATATCAAGGGAAATATTTCAGAGACTGGGAAGCAATTTACAGTACTCTGAGGAAGCTTTCCCTTCACCGATGGGTGAGGAGTCTGCGCCCCACAGGTCCCCATCCGCCCCACTGGAAGGTGTGAACTGGCCGGCAGCTATGGTCATCAGTGTGATTATTACAACAACAACAACAACAACAGCAACAACAACAACGCGGACAGTGCAGGTGCATTTGAAAGTCAGGTCCAGGCATGCCCCTCCCTGTCATCGGGTGCCTGCTTCCTGTTTGAGAAGGCTCCTTTTTGAAAACTTGCATAAAGCTCCTTCCACGTCAATTGGAAAAAGTTTGTTTATTTATATGGCTCAATTCTGGGTTTCTTTATGGGTTGAGTTTATGTTAAAATTTATGTTTCCTATACTAACTAGCTTCCCTTTTCTATCAGAGCAGGACTCTTCACACTTTCATGTGTATGGAACCACCTGGCATCTTGTCCTAAGGCGGGTTCAAGTGCAGGAGGTCGGGTGGGGACAGAGTCTGCATTTTCTCACAAGCTCCCCTATGGCACTATTGCTGCTGGACTAGGGACCATATTTTGAGTAGCAAGATATTCAAGGGAGAGAAGACAGATCCTCGGCTGGTTGCTCTCCTTCTGCCCCCCACACCAGATGATGTTGTCTCCTCAGGAAATATGACAATGCTATAGTCGAGGTCAAGTCTATTGGTCTAGAAGGTTCTCCAAATCACAGGTCAACAGGGTGCAGACCTGGAAGTCCCCAGAGATCACCCTGTGCCCCATGTAGCTGACAGGTGGAGGTGAGGGAGGGGGGGAAGGTGGGGGGAGGATGGGCTGAGGCCAATAAGAGAGGAGTTTGCTGGAGATCCCACAGCAAGTCAGGGACATGTGCTTTGGCAATCCCTATCATTCCATGTAGTCATCAGTGTTGTGAAGTTGGCCTGATTGTGATATTTTTCTTAAAGTGTTAAACTGGTAGTCTTTTTTAAAAATTGTCTTTTCAAAAATTGACGCCTGGCTGGTGTGCTCAATGGTTACAACATGGTCTTTCATACTAAAGGTTGCAGGTTCAATTCCCAGGCAAGGGCACATACCTGAGTCGCAGGTTTAATCCCCAGCCCCAGTCCGGGGATGGGTGAGAGACAACCAATTGATGTGCCTCTCTCACATTAATATTATTCTCTCCCCCACCTCCCTTCCACACTCTCTAAAAATCAATGGAAAAAAATATCCTTGGGCAAGTATTAAAGGATTAAAGAAAACATATATACACACACAAAATTGACTTCGTTATATTGTATTAAATTATCAAGTAAATCAATTACATACCTTAATAAAAAGTTCTAAAGACTATGCTACATGGCTTGCTGTGTCATACCACAGTGATTATTTAACATGTTGGGTTAGAAACACTGGCCTCTTAACAGCCTCCTACTCTTTGTGAGGTTTAATGTATTACACACCACATTTCTCATATTTATATATAACTTCAGAGTTTTGTTTTCAAGGGTATCAATCGAGCCTATTAGATCAACAGGGTGAGAATTACTGGGCCCTGTTTGAAGCTGCCGATAATCCTAACCCTAATCACTCCATGAGTTGGGCACTGCTCTAAGTATCCTATATAATTATCCCATATAATAATGAGGTAATATGCAAATTGACCCTCATGTCCTTGCACCTCCATGTAGTCAGAGATGGCCTCCACAAGATGGTTGGCAGGAGAGGGCAGTTAGGGTAAGGTGACCAGATGTCCCGCTTTTAGCAGGACAGTCCCAATTTTTAATAATATGTCCTGCGTCCCGTGACATTTTTAAAAAGTCCCGATTTTTTGAAAGATTCTTTCCAAAGTTAGGGGTGACCAGGCCTGCAGGGGAGGGCAGTTGTGATCAACCAGGCCAGGAGGGGAGGGCAGTTATGGGCAAGCAGGCCAGCAGGGGAGGATAGTGGAGAGGGACTGGGCCGGCAGGGGAAGGCTGTTGGGAGGGACCAGGCTGGCAGGGGAGGGCAGTTGGGGGCAATTGGGCTGGCATGAGAGTGGTTAGGGGTGATCAGGCTGGCAAGCAGGAGAGCCGTTGGGAGCCAGCAGTCCCAGATTGTGAGAGGGATATCCCAGATTGGAGAGGGTACTTTTTGGGTTGAGGGACATCACCTCAGTGCAAGAATTTTGCACACCAGGCCTCTATAAATGAGCTAATTTAATTCTCAAATGCAATAATTTAGTTCTCAAAGATAAAGCTCAGAGAGGGTAGGGTAACACAGCTAACCAGGGGTCTTGATGGAATTTGAACCCAGATAGTCTTACTCCAGCTTTAAAGCTGCTGCATTTAACCAAAGGATAAGACTCTAGAGCTCTCTGCAGGGGAGGTGACCAGCCCACGTCACACAGGTTATACACCCGGACCCGGCCCCTCCCCTCATTCTTAGTCCAGTTACACCACACTGTCCGCTATGACATGAGAATTAGTGAGCCTGTCCAGCTTGGAGAGCACAGGGGGTCCCAGCGGAGTCACACATTTGGGCAAGCACATTTCTTTCGGCAGTGCCAAGTCAGGGAGCAGTACGGGGACAGTCGCTGGGGGTTCAGACCTGTTCCTTTCGGTGCAGTTGTCCGCGTACAATTCCACGTTGCCCTTGCTCACACTTTGCCCTCTTGCTCTTTCAAATGGGGTGAGGGGTGGGGGAGAAGCACAGTTTAGAG